CATCAGTGTGTTATCTAAACAATATTCTTCTCATTTTCAAAACGCAGCACTGTGCCAGCTACTGGGAAGAAAATTAACTCTGTCCCAGCCGAAACCAGGACACAGATAAACTTCTCCACTAGTGTCTGTGACTAATACTTACTAGTAATCTTATTTAAAAAAAAAGAAAAAAATCTATCTAATGTACAAAGCATCTGATAAATGCAATACAGCAATTTTAAAATACAATACCAACAGGTTTCCTGTCAGTAAGAACTATCTGCAATGTGCACTTAGAATGAAAAGCACGAATGAAAAAGAAGGAAAAAAAAAAAAAAAAAAAAAAAGAATCCCAAGTTTCTCTGTGCTCTCAGAAGGACACGTTTATGTTTCTAGATGTGTTGGTTTGGGGAATCTGAGAGCCGACACAAGTAAGCAGGGACCCAGCGGAGGCCTAAACTAGTCATTTGAATTTCACCTTGTATAACCTAGGAACACCATAATCAATCTTAGATTACATGTGTCAGTTATTTCTAAGGAGAGCAGAAAGAACTATCTAGATTCTAAGTGTTATACAGTAAATCACAGAAGTGTAAATTACTGACAACTGATTTTGGAAGGGAGTGGAACAAGCTGAAGTGGTGTCTGACAGTAAAGGAAAAAGAAAGCTAATCCTAAATCACCCCTTTTAATGGCTGTAACAACTTAAATCATTTTAACTTTGAATTTTGGCAAGTCAAAATTTGAACTTGATTCCCAAACCAAACATCTCAGTGAAATCAGATTTTATCTCATGTTTGTTGAAGGCCTTTGCTATCAGCACAGATTAGAATAACACAAGGGAGTTGCAGGGTTGAATTTTCCTATTCCCCCTCCCCTAAAAAAATTTTTTGTTGCTATCTTTGGATAACTTCAGTATTTAACTGAAAATAATGAAAAACATCTGCCTTCTGCCAAGACCTGATTTTGTCAACAATCTGAAACATCTGAAAAGAGAATAAAATTCTGTTTGGAAATAGCACTGTGGTGTCTTCAGAAGTGTCAGAGAATGGGACATTTACACAAGTTATGGGAGACTTCTCTAAAGTACATCTTCCAAGATGCACCATCGCTCAGCAGCTGAGGAGACGATTCAGCAAGGGGCTGTAGTTAGTCTGTGAAGTCCAGCCTGAGGAGCAGAGGGAGGGCAGGAATTGAATATCCCGCTACGCATCGTTCCACGATGAAGTTCATCAGTCTTTTCCCAGAACGCTGACACCTTCTCATGGCCTTTCTCCCAGCTAGCTCTAGAAATCTCATTTCTGCTCACAGGCTATCAACACTTCCTTTGGATGAAGGGATTCAGAATGGGAGTCCTTCTGAGCATGCTTCTTTCAGAATGAAAAAAAATATCCCACTGAATATAAATATTTTGAATATAAATACTTGTACTGGGTTTTTTTGTCATTTTATAAGAAACTGTGATTTTTCTTTAAATCCCAACACACATTCTTCCTGAAATATGAAACTACTGCACGTGTCCGACTAACATTTGATACCTGTTTATCTCATACAACGCATGCTACTTTAGACTTTCAGTCATTAAAAGTAAGTGATACTAAACTTGTTGTGTTTCAACCAAAATAAGAACATCTGTATAAAATTTTGCATGAGCTTAACTTTGTGGCTTTTTTTTTTTTTTTTAAAGAAACAGGTGTTATTTAGACTCATATTTTCCTTTCCCTGTAACCATTCTTAACAGGAAAACTGCATTTCCTTTCAGACAACTCTGAGAAAAATAGGATAATTCCAGACTGTCTCCCAGTTTAAGTATATATTTCTTCATCATCTGTGCATACCATATATTTTGTGCCTTATTCAACAGGGCAATATAACGTTCCTGACCTAACACTGATACATTTATACTTGGGAACCACACACCACATGAAGTGACAAAACATGATCAAACTGTGCTAGAAATCTTTGTGTCAACAAAAACATTTAAGTTTTACATGTGCAAAACTCCACTCAATAAGCACTCTAAACCATCCAACTTGGCCTTCCCATTGTAGATTCCCTTCCCATGTATACGTGATGTATACATGATAATACTCTCTAAAAAGAGGTAATTCTCAAATAAAGTAATTCTTTTCAGAATCTTTTCCTCTGAATGACAATCTGCTAGACTGCTATTTATATTACAAACCGTATATAGCAAATCAATAAATCTGCAGAACAAAATGTCCTTTCATAAAAAGCCCAGACAACTAAAAATGTACTGCATTTTTTCCCCAATAAAAACACAGTTCCAAACAAGTCTGAATCATCTGCTTACTTTATGAGACCTTTAATAGAAATCATTAATGATCTATAGTTTCTTTCAGGGTTATTCTAAACTTTGAAAGCAAAACTAAAACTGTAAATTTTTCCAGGCGGGGATACGTCTGGAGCACCCTGTTTCGTGTCTTCTAGCCCGCCTCCAGCTTCCACTAAAACAGATAAAATCTTTCACTTTTGTGAAGGGTTGCGTGGCAGTTAATGGCACCACAGAGAAACGATGGCCTCTCGGATATTTGCACCCAGAAGAACAAGACACTTCTTGTTGCTCGTTTCTAAAGCAGAACACTCTTCAAAACTGGTCAGAACAAGGACCACCTCTATCCCAGCACAGCTCCACAGCTTCCCCGTGGCAGTGCCAAACTCTTCCTCCCATTTAATCCAGTACTGTTTTCACTTCTGCACCATCCAACCATTATAATAAATGATTGACAAATCACTGCTCCAGGACAAGAGGAGTCTGCATTCACACCCCAACAACGCCTGCCTGCTGCCACCATTATGCCTTAGCAAGCACCTGTGCCTACTTCCTCTACATATAGACAACGTGGTGTAAACACCCCAGTGCTAAAAGAACTGACAATTAGGATAAGATACTTTAAAACAATAAGGAACAAACCAGCACAGAAAAGTATCAGAGACAGAGCAAGCTTAAAGGAATCTCTGCAGTCAGATTATTCAAGGTCTTCTTAACAAGATAAGTATCAAGAAAGCCTTCCTTAACTACAACAGTAAAAGCAACAGTTTCCTCATAGTAACCTGCATTACACTTGGACTCGCACGCTCAATTACTCGGCGTGCACAGCAGCACAGCGTGCCACGGGATGAGATGGGAGGCTGTTACAGAGAGCCGGAAACACTGACTCTCACCACCTCGCCTGCTTGTAACGGACCCTTCAATTCAAATTTAAGAACCTGCAGTTCTTCAGCACTGACTTCTGTTCTTTCAGGTCTGTAATGGTCTGAACCATTTGTAGGACAGCCATGTATTTAAGCAAGCTGTAGAATCCATACGTATACAGACAGCACTTTCAACTACAGTATACTATTTGCTGTTCTGGTTTACTTTAGGCACTCACCCTCTGGACTTAATGATTATTAGATAAAAGCGCTACATTTAGAGGTAAGCGAGGCAGAAAACCTGTGTCTTGACTTCCAGTTCTCGGGAGGTGTGTTAGAGAAGTATTTAAACACATCATACACATCATATATTCTACAACAAACGCCAGTGATGACTCAGAAGTGACATTTGTAGTTAAAATTAAACAACAAAAAACTTCAATATTGCAATATGTAATCATTAGATGGTGTAGTTTACTTAACAGTTGTGTTACGTGGCAAAACTTTGTTGTTTTTTTTTTTTTACTGTGATATCACCTAAGTTGAAAATAACTTCAATTTAATGGAAATTCCTTCCACAAGCCCCAAGAAATCCAAAGTGCTTAAATCTCTGTCCGGCAGCCCTTGCTTGTTTGCCTCACCCGTAACAACTAGAAGGGATTCAGTAATCCAGAATTATGATTGCACGGACTTTGGAAAAGATACAAACCGAGTCTTGTCTGAACTTCACAGTATAACATTATACAGAAACTTTCCCTTTTATATATACATAAATCTGCACTGATAAAGTTTGAAGAGCACTATTCGGCTACCTCTTCAGCTTACAGAGTGCAAAATCAAATCAAGAACTACATCCACCCAGTATTTCACTTGATGCCACCAATGTACGTCTTCCTCTCTGCAGACCTCTTTTAGGTCAGACCTTCAGCCTGCATGACACTCGGATACTCTGCTGGCTTCACTGATCTTACACTGACTGTCTGTGTATATTCTGTACTTGCCCTCTGACCAAAAACTCCCTCCACTCGGAAAGTGACGGAGCTCTGCACCATTTATGAACGGTCATATGTCAGTTCTCAACTCTTTTTTGCAAAAATGTGGTCAACGCAAGATCTTCAGTTCCTGCTTATTTTATAAGCATTTTTATGCAAAGCCATCAGAGATAATCCTTTAACACCTTGAAGCAATGTATGACTGGAATTTACTGCACCTTCCATCAACATGGACTCCTTTTGCATTACCTCAACGTAGTTTTTGTTCCTTTCTCCCTTACTGAACTACCTGGGGAAAACGCACCACCATCACCTTCGTACTTCTCCATGCAGCTGTAGGTCTAGAAGAGACACTCAGCTGTTCAGAGAGCGTCAGAATGGTGCCTCTGTGGAGAGCTCCCTTTCAGACCCTACCGGTTTCGCATACGTGCAAAGCTTTCCTTGTCACTTCTCCCTTCTGTTCTACCCTCTAATGGATTCTTAAGTTACTTCTCTCAGTCACGGTATTAAAGTAACACTCTGCAAAGCACAGCCACACCATTACTTGCTGGCTAGGGAGCTGGCAGGCTCCGTGGCAGAGGCAGAGTTAATTCTTGGCCTGAAGACCCAAAACAATAGCACATAATAATGGATACTTCAGTTTACAGAATTTCAACATATGCCTTCAATTTTCCATTATTCCTACACCGTAACCTCAAGGAAAGAGAATGACACGAACACGACATGGAGTCCTCTTCATGACAAAATTACATTAGGGAAACTGAACTAGGTTTGCAGAGGCTTTATTTTATTCCAGTAAATATTTATTCCAGTACCTAGGGGGATATTACACAAGCTGCACGTTCTCCTGCTCTGCCACTCATTAACAATCAGACAGGCTTGTCAACGTTACCTGGCCTCGCTTTGAAAGTATCCACTTATAATGCAGCCAGTGCAAATCACAGCAGTTGGCAGGGGGCACAGTGCGCGGTTCAGTGTTACCGAGCAGGGCACCGACACAGCCCACGACAAACGGAGGATCGTTTCTGCAGCAGCGCTCCTTTGGTCACTGATCAGACATCACAAAGAATGCCTGCTTGGGAACTTGTTTCATTTCATTTTGATTTACACGTGCCGGACAGGAGTTGGGCATTTCATACTCCCTTGACCGGGGCCGGGGGAGCAGCCTGTTGAGACGATCAGGTGAAAAATTACAGAAACGGTATATTGACTTACTGAGTCTCTGTTCCCAGGAGCATCTCCACCTTCTCTCCCGCGTGGTTACTGAGGACTGCTAGTCTGAAGAGGTGAGCCGCAGAACTCTGCCGCGAGTAGAGCATAGCTGAAGCGTTCTTTACAGGAGAAGAAGTCAGGTCCTCGCTGTCACATTGCTGTACCACCAGCTGGTCCCTTAAAGCATAGCCTGTGACATTGTAACTCTCTTCACTGCAGAACAAAGAAAGGAAGAAAAAACCCCACAAGTTTAATGTTTGATTTTCCATTAAGTATGTCTGGAAGCAAACTCAGTCATAGCATCCACTTTTAACTACATAGTATGGCACGATTCTTCTGAAACCTCAGATCATCATCTGTTTATTTGGTTTTGGAACTATCAATTTTCCAAGACAGAAAGTTGATCAGTTTTTAAACCTTCTGGAATTTCATTTAGTGGCACAGTTAAATGACTTTGGCGTTCTTGAGATGGCGTAAGCTCAACTTAACTTTTTGAAAACAGGCACAACAATTATATAGAATTGCACTTCTTTCTTCCATAGCTTCAAATGAACATCAGACCTTAATTTTAGAATGGCATAGGAAAAGGAAGTAAAATTTCCCTTTTCCTGTGCCTGTAAAACTATGGGTATGTATACTGCTTCCAGATAAACACTACTGATCTTCATTTTAAATACAGGATAATCATCTGTACTCCTTGTCCATCTGCATGTAGAAGGTCTAGTCCAAAAACTGTTTTAGAATATTCTGAAAGATAACCTTAGTCAATTGTGAATTTTAAAAATGGGCAAAGGCTCGTCACACACTATCAGTCTTGCACTGTGAAATCTACCTTTTAGAAAGTACTTTGTAAATAAATATACCAGCTCTAAGAGATACGAATAAAGATTGCTACATGTGCATAGTAACTTCCCAAAAGCGACTAGAAAGAGTTTTAAGAAATTAAGCAAGTCGGAAGCTTTCCTTTCCTTATGGCTGAAATGTAGATGGAGAGGTAGACAAAACTAATCTTTGCTGACACACTACCATGTTTGACACGGAGAACAGAAGACCTCAGAACCACTTCTTATGTCAAAGTCACTGAATGTTGAATTATGCCAAAATGACATTATGGTAGTTTTCCCAGACAGGTGAAAACATGCAAACGTTAGACATCACAGATCAGAACATAAAGGCGTTACTGCTTTTAACAACAGAAGGACTTAAATGAAAATAGGCACTCTTCCCTGAACGGCAGACTTTTCTTTCTAAATGTGAGAATCACTTCAGCTAATCAAGATCTTCTTGACAGGTGCAGACAGGGCAAAGACAGGAAGAAGCATGTCGGGACAAGGCACACCGTTACATACGACGGTACTAGATGGTAGCAGTGAGCGCTTACTTCAACCCCCCTATTCTTCAATCCATTACAATGTATTTACGACATGTGCTTCAACTTCAGAATATCCAGACATCTTAAGCAGCATTCTTCAGCACGCTTACGTGAGTTGAGCCAGTTATCCTATCTAGTGGTTTGCTACTTACTCTCATCAAGGCAAGACTGGAAACGTGTTTTTTTCAAGGGGAAAATAACTGTGCATTTCCAAATTTTTAAAGTTGTGAAACATAGTTAAAGAAACAGTTAAAAATCCACATCACTTACTCAAGAAATAGCACTGATCACAACAAAAGAGAAGCCACCTGAAACGGTCTTTTTGTTTCCGCTGAAGCTTGTGAGCGTATTTCCCAGAATCGTCTTACATGCATTTTCAAGTTTACCAGGATGAATCACAAACCCAGGACACTGATAAACTAATTACCTCATAAGTTCACGTAAGCTTGTAAAATTTTTTCAGATTTATTGTCCTACACTGGTGCAACAAGAAAAGATAGAAAAAACCCTGCTTACATAGGCATAAAGCCAGTTCTCCCTCCTAGCCCATGCACTGCTGTGGTTGGCAGATTTTGCAGTAAATCAAATACATCAAATTTTAAGGTGCAACTTTACATACTCCACCTTACAGTAAAAGCTCTTTAGACTTCAGTCTCAAGTGATGAAAAGCTACGCTAGAGCCCCATATTACTATGCTTCATTAAAATAATGTAAATTGAAAAAATACTTGAGAAGATTAATTTTGCTGCCAGAGATATACAGAAACCTGAGCACTGAACTGATACAAATCAAATCCCAAACACCTGGAACTGAAGCAGCCTGAAATGCTGATGGTGACATACCCCCTTCTGGCAGGTGCCAACAAAGCGTATTCTTCCTTCACGGTTGCTCAACTATTATGAGAAAATGGAAAGATGACGACTTAATGCCTGTTGGGATATATTCTGCCCATTTTGTGAACTGTCGGAAAAATACCTGCAAATACCTCACTAGTTAATGTAACGGTCTTTAGAATTCGTATTTTTAATCCTGCAGAAAAAGAATTACTAAAGCACAACTGAGCAACATTATAACTCAAAACATAACTTATTGCTGATTTCTGTGACTCATGCAGCATTAGAAGAATTTCTCTATTCTTCAAGTGATGACAGGTTTACAGATCATGTTGCGTGTGTGGATTTTTGTGGATTAATAGTTTCTGCCAGTGCATCTAGTGTATAAATAAAGTTCTTCTTTCAACTACGTGGGGTACATTTTTACTTTTCTTCTGTGAATTAAATACTTGAAATGGTTTTTTTTCCCCCGTACAGCTTTGTACATTCTCAAATGATTGACATAATTCCATTAGTATCATGTTCTGATCCTTCTTGCAAGTATTTTTTCTTCTCATCTTTTGTTGAGGAGTTCAGGGGCTTTACAAAGGAAGCAGAAGCAAAGACAGATGAGCTTAGTTAGAGTTCTCGTATAGAAGGACTGAAATCACTGTAGCTCGTAAGACGAACACTTCCCTTCCCTGTTTCTTTTTCTCCAAGTCTCAGAATGGTTCCAGCAATTCCCCACAATCCGCTGGTGTTTTCCACTCTGAGGGCTGGAATCACAGCTCCCCATTTAGGTACCATTGACAAAGGCACAAAACATAGCAAAACTTCCAAGCGTGCTGTTGCAAGAACTTAAAATGGCTTTCAAAACTCCCCACACAGTTTTGATTAACCTAGCTTTTGATCAGACTGTTGTTTCCATGTTCCTCAGAGTAAAAAAATTAAAAAAAAAAATAAATCACACAGGAAACGAGATGGACACAGCAAACTCATTCAGAGCTCTGTAAAAATGAAGCCAGGTTAATTACGCTATTACACATGACTTCTTGGCTCCCAAAGTAGAAAGAATACAGATTACAAATAGGTTTTGGTCTAATTAAAGGAATTTAACATGAGCACACTGAGAAGCTGGGAGAATCTTTAGTGTTTCAGCATGTGGAAAGCTAAGTGTTAATTTCCGCACATATAACCCAGGGATGCTAAAAGGAATCTTAATTCAAATGTATTCTCTATGTCCTTATCTTTCGGGAAAGGTGTGCACGTAGCTCTTCCCTGAAACATAACAAATTTAAATTTACTGTGATTGTCCTACTGTAGAAAAGCGTAAGAGTTTTAAGAGCAGCTATGAGAGAGGAGGGAGTAGAGACTAGATTTAGGTTTCACATTCCCTTAAATCCAGCCCTAGATTCAAATTAATTCACTTATCTACAAAAAGATGCTACTTATCGCTTGAGGACAATTGTTTCAAGAGCCATCTGTAGGAGCTGAGGGTTCCTACTGAAGAAGAAAAAACATTTTATATCTAATATTTATCAGTCTCTCTCTCCCTTTTTCTTTTTCCTTAAAATATATACTCTAAAAGATGGTAAGGTTTGTTTGGTTGTTGTCAGGTTTTTTTCAGGGGGTTGGTGTTTTTTGTTTTGTTGGGGTTTTTTGGGTTTTTTTAAAGAAGTCAGTTCAGTATTTTAGTCTAGGCAATCCCTGCTTAGCCAAGGGCAGAACTAGAAAAACCAGCTAGGGGTGCTGCGATAGTTATTTGGGAATCTTGCGTCTGAAAAAGAAATGTAGTCTATGCATTTGCATAACGAATAATAAATGCATTCCTTACGAATTAATCAACAGAGATAAACCTCTCCAAATCCTTCCTATTTCTTATCTCCATTCAACAAAATAGTCTGATTTGAAACTACCAGGCAGTCCCCATCTTTTTACCCCCTGTGCCCTCTCTGAGGCCCACAAACGCTCCTCCTTCCAAACAGATAATGAAATCGGCTGATAAAGGTGACAGTGCTGGAGTGAGCAGATGTACGTAAATGGAAACTTAATCCGCTCAGCCAGGCAGCGGAGTATTAGGAAGGACATTTAACATGTTCTTTAAAAGTAACGTGATCAGGTAATGCAAACATGCCAATATTCATTTTCAGTTTAAAACTGAACTTTTTTGCTAAACTTTTATTTACATTCAGAACATGAAACAACAGGACTGTTCTGCACCCCTCTGGAGGGAACGCATGCAAATTTAGGAAGCACTTTTATGAATACCAAAGATCTACTGATGCAGTATCGTCTGTTCTAGGCCACCTACGCTTTAACAGAAAGCACATGGTCAGTCTCCCTATATCCTTTACTCCTTCCAGCTGCGCCACTCTCAAACCCTTGGTGCTCCACAGAAGTTGCTTTGCATTTGTGCTTGCCTTTACGTACAAAATCACCCCTGGCGTCTTGAGAAAAACCATGGTTTTGCAAGCAGCTGTGAAGAGGTAACATTCCCGAGTAGCAGTGAACCTTTGGGTGATTTCCAGTGCATGAAGTCCAGCTGCATTCCACTGTCAAGGTATCTCGGGAGCTGACAAGCCATAGAGCCGTTAAGGCAGACAGGATTCCAGTGGGATCCTTAGGGGATTATGGAAAATGGAATATTCAATGAATGTACACTCATTCAAAAATATAAGCCTCACTGGAGTTCACCTGAGATCTTCTAAAAGCACTCAGGATGTAACCGGTGGGTTTTCTCAATAGCTGGATAAGGCAGCTATTTAGTTGTATGTAACAAAACTTTATTAATTCTGGAGTTCTCCTGAACTCTGCGGAGCACAGAGCTAGCTCACAGGCAGCTTTGAGCGTTAGTAACTAAAATGTGTAACCAGATCTTTGGGGTCCCAGGAGGGCACGCGGAATAAAAGGAGACATCTGACTTCTGGCAGAGTTCAAAGCTAGCTGCATCCTGTTTTTAGCAGAATATCGTTACAGCGTACACCTCCGAGCCTGCAAAAGGTACCACGGAAATCGCCTCCTCTGTAGCCTGGTCCTCTCCTCCCCTCGGGCAGTTGTAAAGTGTCCGCTACAGAAACTCAACCACGCCTGGCAACGGACAGATTCCTACCTAAACCCGGCAGTGATGCTCATCAGCTGTGCAGGAGAGGTATGGGGATACTTATACCCATACTTGTGCTTTAGAAGAGGGAGAAAACTGAAAACTCATTATGAAGGAAATACATACAAACATAAAAGTAGTATCTGTATTTAAACTAAGTACTCTATCTCTTAATAAAGCACTGATTTCATCATACTTTGTGGAAATGAAAATAGTTTCTTCACTAGCCCAAGAGAAAGCAAATCTCCCAAGCACGACGCAAGCAACAACTGCACTGTAGTGCAGGTGAATCGTGAGGCAGCTGGAAAGAACAACTCTAAAGAGCTGAACTGTATTGCGCGTTACTCCTGATGCCAGAGTCCTACCTTCAAAATCCAACATCAGCATAAGCTACTGGTTTACTGGTCCCTGTAGCGGATGTCAGGGCCAAAATGGTGGCAATTCACAGTACAGCAAGGAGGTAAATAAAAGAAAGAACAAAAGCCAAAAAAGGAGCAAAAAGAGAATGGGGTTAGGGAATGAAACCAAAGGGTAAAACACTACCACAAAGCTGAATGAACAATACATGAAATATTTAGGTTACCTGAAAGTCAGTCTACGCTTAGATCTTTGCAGAGTATTCACAACTTTACACATTTCTAAGTTAACTTCCCAGAGCTACCTAAGCAGTCAGAGGAACAAAGCTGCTCTCCTAGAGGGCAATCGGGACCAGCCAAATTAAACGTCTACGTTGAACTGCTCTCCACAGGGACCTGCCTTCTCCACTGACTGCACGGGTAACCCTGGAAGAGTGCTGAAGGCACCTGAAGTTGAGCAGGCCAAACATCACCTCGCTCTTCTCTTCATGCCGTAATCTGACATCCGTGTTCACGTGAACACGAATTAATTGCTATCTTCCTGTGCACCAACCCTATAAAAGTGGGCCTTTCCACCACGGTTTGGGTATCCCGGCACATGCAGCGCTGACTATTCTTTTCCATGTAACGCATTAAAACTTTACAAGTATTAAGAGAGGCTATGTTTTTTCTAAATGACATTTAAAAAAAAAAAAAAAATCGAATTCTGTCTACACAGCAGAAGGGGCTACAGGAAAGGACTACTGAACAGGAAAAAAGTTCCCAATAAACTAAAAGCTGAGCAGTGGGGAAATGCAGATTTTGATTATTCTCCAAAATCTTGTGTAGAATGACACACATCACAAGTTCACATGTCTGTTTCTGGCCTAATCCCAATGGCCAGCCTTGAGTATTATTCAGTAGCCATTTGCCTTACTTCTTCAAAGGGCAAGCGTGATGAAGCAACTGACTACCCCGCTGCTTTACAGCACACAAGTCAGAGCCTAAATGATGACCAGGGTATACAGAACACACGCAGGAATGGTCTGTCCAGTAGCTGACGTGGAAAGCATAAGCCTCTGAAATATTTCATAGTGGCATGAGGTATAGCCACACAGCATCCATTAAAAAGGAAGGTATTTTGGTAGCTAAATTCCATTTAACCTACTTAATGGGCAAGAGAAGACAGTTAAACCTTGCAATTTCAATCAGGAGGTAAAACTGTAGCTGAGGAAGATTATGATGAATAAAGTATCATTAAAATTGAAACAGAAGAACTCTGGAGCATGCCTGAGTATACACCAACACAAGACCTCCCTTTACCTTTTTTATAGCTAAAATATAGCAGTTCTCATTATAAAAAGGTTTCTGGAACGCTTGCTCACTCAGTATTTAAAATGCAGTTTGTCCAGCGACGATTCTGGCATTTGGAAAGGGCCCCTGAAATGAGGCTGTGAGCAGTGACGTACGCCGTATCTGGCTGGACTAGAATTACTCACAGCCATCAACATGGCTTCTCTGACCGCTACCAGCAAGCCCGGCCTTTAGGAAGTCAGGACGGAGCCATTCCCGGCTGTGTGTGCGAGGTTCTACATCTATGGCAAACTGCTGACGGGAGAGCTGGAGATTAACTTGGGGGTAACGATTAAACAGCATGATCGGAGCACTAAGTAATTAGTATTTTTAGCACAGCAGTGAGGAGTGATTTTTTTGTGCAATGTTAAGAATCTTCTGAAATGCAACTGCTCAAGTAAAAATACAAACATTTAAACCCAACTAGCAACAAATATTTCTGTCCACTGCTGTGGTGTCCATGGTAACACTGTGGGTGGGGGAAGAGATCACCAAAACCCCAGATATTATTAATAAGCTTATTCACTTGGGCAAAGTACATGCTTCATGCTCAAGAATATCTGGAAGGCTCGCAGAAATCAGTCCATTTCAATTCCATCCGTTTGCTTAGGGGGTATTGGTAGAGTGACTGTGGGAATCTGGCCATTAACGTGAAGGGTTCTTTGATTTTGGCTTCTGGGCCCATTTAGGACATTTCAATTCCCACAGCTGGAAGCTGTTATAAATCAAAAGCCCCAAAGTCTGGATAAGAGATGTTGCTACAAAAATCTGTTTTATAATCTGGACAACAAGCTATCACATAGGAGACCAATAAACAATGTAACAACATAGATAATAGATTTTTCACTGTTTTCCCATCTCAAACATTTACTTAGCTACCAAGACAATAATACGTTAAGAGTAGTCCCATGAGAAAAGAAAGGCACTATGTAAAGAAGTGCGATACAACTCTGATGTGCTGCCAGTGAGGCAGTGATTTAACAAGGGACTTTACAGAAACATTTCAGCACAAGCTTTGATAAACACTGAATCGCAGAAACATTTCACATCAGTAAGAGAGCTGGGGAGAAATCTATTCACTTTTCTTCCCATCTTTATTAAAAAAAACAACCTTTCACTTAAATATTTTTCCCCTCCATTTTCATTCAGCTTTCTCTTTGCCTAAATATTAGCATTTTCTTCTCGGATTTGGTATCATACCTCATTCCTCATCACTTCTCATTTAAATTATGAATTTGAAGTTTCTCAAAAGGCTTTCTTTTAAAAATAGCTGGTATGTGGCTTAACTAGCCAACCCAGATGCAAAATAATTGTTCTTCAAAACAGACTTTAGTCTCGGGAATAAGGTTTATCTATCAAGTATTATCTAATCGCAACAGCAGAGATGTAAATTCCATTCCATTCAATTATTCTAGATCTCCCCTCAAATCTAGTCATAAAAATTTAAATGGAGACTGCTAGAAGCGGTCTCCCATACATCATTCCCAAAAACAGTCCAACTGGCAAAGAGCGGAGGGGAATGAAAACTAACATTTCTTTATCCTTCCAAAACTTCTCCCTCTGCTAAGGCATCAAGAATGGACTTTTTAATTTGTCTCACAATTTGGAATTTCAATTGCATTTGCCAAAAATAAATCCTGTTTAACAAGTGGTTACTTGTCATTTCAAAACGCAGTCTGATCGAGCAGCATTAGAAACTCTAGTATCTACATAATTCATTTACTCTCTCAGACATGGCATATTAAAACATATAAATGGCTTCACAAATGTTTACTGGACTTAAAACATGTTTAGTCCTTATCTGCTCCTGTTTTAGGCTGCAACCGTACCAGGTCCACTTACTTCTCTCTGAATCTCCTTCATTCTTTCCAACAAGCAAGTGGCTAGAAAATACATAAAAATGCTGTGGATGCAACCAAGTTTGCCGCTCCAAAGCCAGAAAGCTTCGGTTTTCATTTCCCCTCGGGTGAGGCGCACACGAGTCACGACAGTTTTGAAAGACAATGGTAACTCCGCTGTTCTCACTGTGATTCAAGGAGTTGAACACCAAGGCAATTTTATATTGGTGAAGCTCTTACCTCTTCTTCTTGGTGATAATGAGGACGTCGTTAAAGAGGAAGAAGTACACCTGCTGCTTAGAGGTTCTTTTAGAAAAAAGTCCAGTGTCTTCTACGTATGCTGTTAATTCACCCCTTTTCACTAACCATCGTGAAGAAGAAACCAATGGAAATGGCTACAAAGCAAAAAAACCAACATTTTAATCCTTCCAAAGTAGAGATTTTTAAAAAACAGGTAACAGAGTATTACATATTTGGGGAAAAAAAATGCTTGAATAAACTCAAAGCTCAGAGATCGTGAGTACCAGCACAAAATGGAGGTTATCAAGGTTTAAGGTATCTTCATCGTTCATCTAATAGACAAGCAATAGCCTGCAAATACTTGAAAAATCACTCATGCACATGACCTAATTGCTCATCTAAGATAAAAATGAACAGACTTGATTGGTCATACTTGGGATGGAACAGACTATGTGAGATCTCCTAAGGAAATTAAAATAAAAATACTGTCTTCTAGGAATATATAAGTTTTTGGAGAGCAAGCAATCATTCTTTAAGCCCATACGGACATTGGATTTTCCTCTAGGTACCTCACAGCTTTTCTAAACAGCTGGAAAGAGCAGCTTCGGCTTCTCATCTCAAACATGAGGGCTACTGCACACCGCATTTCATCGCACCCCTAAGGCCAGTTAAAATGATGCTGTGCCTTCTTTCTGGTGGTGTGTTCTGTACCACGCACAGAATTGAAAAAATGTAAAATTCTTCAACAGAGAAATACACTGTACAACCCACTTTGAAATATTCTGTGAGTATACGAAAACAGACTTAAAGAGATGACGGAGACAGCATGCAAGATTAGATTGGTCCTAATGCAGTACTGAACATCATTATCGAGATGTTCAGAGTCTGCAGACCTTTCTTCTGTGAAAAAGCAAAGTACGTGAGGAATGCCAGACGGCTTACCAATCAAATGCGGTAAAATCCATTTTCTACTCTGTCAGTAAACTGAAGTTCCAACACAGCTCTGTGAAAGAATGTGTAAAGCAGTATGCGATATGTAGGGTTTGAATGAGTTGTCCATTTTAATGCCAAAACAATGTATTTTGCTCATGACATCAGAAATTCACCAGCGGTTTGAGACACATCTGAAATTTTTAGAGGACGTCTCTTTAGGTATCCCTTATGAAAGGCCATATTAATAAATCACTGTCCTTCCTCAGGGTGAACTTCAGCTTTTTTTTTCCCCCCTTGTCTTCCATTTGTCAGGAAAGGTGACTGTTATATTTGACCACAATTGCTTTGTGACTTGCTACCGCAGCTGAAGGGGATGGCAAATCAGACTGCTCCAGGCACGCTGCTCTAACGAGGCACGGACTTGAGCCCGTTAGAGCACCCTCAGACCAGACATGACAACTCACTGGGCGTATGTCACTGGTTCCACGACAAGTCAGTCAGGTTTGCATGAACCTTCTACGAGGTACAGGTACAGTCATTCTTCCAAGGTGATTACCATACCAAACCACTTACATTTTTTTCCCTTGATAGCAGGAAGGGAAGTTTTCCAAGTACTTGCTATTCTCATTAGGAGCTCCTGAATACAGTGATCTGTCCGCTGTCATAGCTTTACCTAAGGTGGATAATTAAGGATACTATAGCTCCTCTTCATCTAGTTGATGAAGTTGAACTCCAAGTGTTCTGTGGAGCAGGATCTCCATTTCCCTCTAGGGCGAGGACCAACACCTGCAGCAGCTGAAGCAAGCCAAAGAGGATCACAGCTGCCTAATGTGAAGACCAGACTTTATTAATCCAGATTATTCCCAACTGTGGGAGAACGAGACACCATAGAAGCACCTTTTGTCTCTGGGCCACGGATACGAAGGGAGATGTGAGACTGCACGTCCTGGTCATACAGAGGACAGATCATCTCTGAAGCTGTACCATGACACACGGTGCCAGAAGGACAAAGGTCCATTGCAGTGCTGGCAGCTGTCCCACTGACCAGGATTCCTCAGTCAATGATCTCACTGACTGTTGCTAGCACTGAACTGGGCAGAGCTGCTATGTGGGATCATTTCTTCAGCGGCACACAGTGGACAGGTTCTTTCTGCCAGCCTGCGCTGCCACTAGGCAATATTCTGAGCAAAGATACTGACCTCCTCTGCTGGTTTCACCCCTCACTGGCATGACCTGGTTGGGTCCTAACTTGAATACTTGAAGATGCTCTTGTCTCCGTGCACCTTTGGGTATTGCCCACATGCAATAGAGCATCTGAATGAAGGTGTCTGGTACCTTCCCCCGGTACCAAAAAGGATTAGGCTCAGTGCGTAACTTCTGCGAGCGAAGCCTGAGCTGTGCACCCTGTACCTTACGGGTTCTCCAGCAGCAGGTACCCGATACCACTGGAAAAGAAGAGGCATCCACTTTGCCCACGCTTACTAATGTTTGTACCTAAGACCTGCTGCAGTAAATGGGTGCTTACTGCTAAATTTTATGGAATTTAATTTTTCTTTGTCCCAAGCAAAATAATCAAATTTTTCTTTCTACTTTAAATGTAACTGGCTTTCTGCTTATCAAACTTCCCTACTTGCTTTGCTGCTGTTCAAATTAATTATTGGTCTTGCATGATTAGACAAATGAAGACAACTGCTTTTTCTCCCTTTCACATGCTAGTAAAAAAAAAAAAAAAAAAAACTTCTTCATTCAGCTTGCCAGCTGTCTTCTTCATTCTGCATGGGTTGTCTTTTTATATCTTTTAATCATTTTAGCTGCTCTTTACTGAACTAATTTCAACTTGCCTATACTTGCCCCATAGTACTATGCCAAAATCAAAATACAGTGCTTTGACTGTGATCTTGCTGTTGGAAGAACAAAATACGAACTCCCTAATTTTACATGCAGCCACCCCCGTGTTTTTGAATTTTGAGGTATGATTTTACAGTGACTCTGAAGTGGCACATGATGGAACAGTTATTCCAAAGATGCTTTTTTGGCACCAGGCTGTACCACAGAACTCTCTCTCCCATACTTTCCATTAGGAGGTAGTGTACTAATGGCAGATGAAGGTTGCTCAAAATTGCGGAATGTAGCAGCTCTCTGGAACTACTGCACATTGTTACAAGTTAAAGAAGCCTTTTTACCTCACCTCAGACTCATTTATGTCCCAATATACGCAGAACAAGCAGG